GTGTATTATTTATGTAGATAGAGAGCATCAAAGGGAGAGAAAAAGTGAGGAATCGAACGCTGGAATTTATGAGGGGGTTCCCCTCAATAATAATTCCTATACATGATCATTAACTCTAAGGTTATGACTGCCCACAGATGGAAGATATAACAGAAGGAAGATAATGGGTATCTTCTAGTGAATCAGTTTATTGCAAGACATGACTTGCTTGCTTTTCCCTTGTTTGGTTTTGTTGTTGTTTTTTTTCTTGCGTCTTGATTCGTGAAAATGTCGCGACGCTTTTGGTTCAGTTTTGTTTTAACGGCGTCTGGTCGCCTTTTTGGCCAAATCGTCGCTGCAAATTACTGAAATTAAAGCTAACGAAGCGCGAACATTGCCAACAGTTCGCTCGACAACCTCCGACAACTCTGCAGACATATCGCACACATTTTCACCACCCTCCAGCCCAACCTCCAGCCATCAATTCGCACTCTCTTGGTATTTCTTCTGGGTTCCTCGCAGAGGCAGGTGCCAAGGCTGTGTGGGCGGCGGGGCAGGGTCGCGAGTTTGCGAATGGTCTGCCTTAAGGTTTCAGTTTTCCTTAATTTTCACGGCATTTTCCCTGGCTTTTGGCAAGTTTTTCACTTTGAGCATTTGCCACTCGCAGGTCGCCGTTGTCGCGGCTGCAACCCCCCGAAAAAAAAGGACGAAGAGTTAAATTCCCTTTTTGCGGCAAGTGAATTAGCTCGCTAAAAGGATAAGTACGTTCGCAGGCTAAGTACGATTGGGTCAAGTTAAAAACTATTTTTGTTTAAGACAATTTGTGTTTTGTTTTTGTTTTTGGAGTAGAACAAGCACACCTCAATTATTCTCTTAAAATTGAGCAGTCTAGGAAAATATGTGGCCTTATCCTCCCACCATATTAGTTCACAATTTAGTTAATAGTTTTTGGAATTTGACTTAATTAAATTAAAAGCTTGACCTTAAATAAAAATTACATTCAGTAGTAACAAATTGAACGTAAACTACTTAATAACAAGTAAGAGGTTCTAGTCGAGAGCTCCCGACTAGGGGATACCCTAAACCCTCTTCTTCCAACATCAAATGCATATATATATTCTATTTTAGAATAATCATATTTGGTGACTCTAGCTCTTATTATTTACCCAATTTGCTCAAAAAACAGGATGTTGATATCGATTTTTATCGATTGCTTGGAAACGGAGTAAGTTATCGATTGTCGGAAACAAGCTCGATCTGCGCACGCACTAGGAGCACCTACATCTTATAGGTTCTGAGATCCTTGCGTTCATACATACGGATGGACGGACGGACAGACAGACGGACATGGCTAGATCGACTCGGCTATTTATGCTGATCAAGAATATATATACTTTATGGGGTCGGAGATGCTTCCTTCTGCCTGTTACATACATTTGGCTTTCGCACAAATACAATATACCCTTATACTCATTTTTAATGGGTTCAGGGTATAAAAATATGAAAATAATTAACAAAGAGGTATTAAAGCAAAGCTTTAAAGTACTCACTTGCTCTCTTCCTCTCCCTCTCTCTCTCTCTCTTTCGGGTTGTGCACGATATGCAAAATGCGCCAAAAGGAAAAAGCTTTGCGCCAAAAAATCGAACATGACGCATTTTACCGCATTTGTTGAAGACACAAACAAGAAAACGCTATAATAAATGGCAATTGACACGAACTAAACACGCTTAGCACAATTATAATAATATAATTAAATTAAATTTGTAAGCAATTTGTAATACACACGCGATCGATCAAAGATGACGCAGACGCACTAAATCGACGCACTAATAAGAACACAACACAAACGGGCTATTGACACGAACTTATCACGCTTAACACAAATACACAACACAATAACAATAATGTAATTAATTTAATTTTGTGACGAAATAGATTTAATACACATGCGCACAACAAACGACCGATCTAAGAAGATGACGCGCACAAACTAAATTGCAGTTATGCAATAACAATTGCTGCGCTCACACCATCCGCGCTTTGAATACACAACCATGTAACGGGATCAAAAGCGTTTCGACCAATGGTGTAAGCGCAATGCATATCAATTACGCTCCAAAAAGCTCGTGCTCTCGTTTTTTGGTGCAGTTGCAGGCAGCAGAAAAAGCATCAATAAATAATTTAGCTTCCACGATCCACAACATCCACAATGTCCACTCTTTCGGCAAATACACTGTGTGATTGCAGTTATTGCTCATATATAAGGATCAAAGTGAAGCTCGTTAATACTCAAAATGCAAATACCCTCTGTTAGGGTATAAAAAGGAAAACAGCTGCTCCATTGGAAACATATTGAGTCCCCATACCATAAACAATAAAGTCAGCATCTGCTTTGCATGGACAGTTGCCAAACTGAAGCGTTGGGGATTAACGCGAGAGCACAGAAAGGAGAGTAAAACAAAAACAATAAGCAGCCTGCGATAGCAAACGATATAAACGAAAAAACGCACAGACACACACACACACACACACTTAATAATATAACAGTCAGCCACACACTCAATTACCCAACTACTGCGGATCGCATTGGACCCGATACCTGAGAGCAGAGTTGTTGTTATTGCTACCTGTTCAAACACCTGCGTACAGCTGCGAGGGCGCGTGGCAGCGGCAGTAGCAGCAGCGGCCGCTTGTCTCATTAATAAACGAGTCGATAGGCAAACGGAGAGGGAGGGTGCACACACGCACAGGTGTCAGACGCCGTCGCTTGTTTTGCCGCCAGCATTTGTAACATAAGACGCTGCTGTTGCTGCTGCTGTCGCTGCTCGGTTGTTTGTCGGCGTTTGTTTTGCTACGCTTATTCGCCTGCTGTTGCTGCTGCCGCTGCTCATTGACGCCGGCAGCGACGCGTCGCTCTCTCCGGCTGTGGCAGCCACTTGCAAGCGCCCTCTCTATTTCTCTCTTTTATTTTTGTAGACTTTTCCGCCTGTAGAGTATCTACTTTTATCTACGTGCACACGTTTGTTTTGGCCGCCGGCCAGCTTTTTTTTTTTTTTAAATATTTTTTATTCATTCTCTTTATCTTCGCCTCGCTCTTGTCTCTTTGTCCTTTGGGGCAATCGGAGCGTTCCGTTTCGCTTCCATTTGCTGCCTTTTGTCAAGCGCCAAAAATAAATGCCATGCATATAAGATTCGCATAGCCGGCGCGGCCGCACACTCTTTCCTTCTGGTTCGCCTCTCTCCACATTTTCAATTAGCTGCCTGCCAGACTCTAAAATCTATGAATAATTTTCTCAGTTTTCCAGCCATTTTGGCTAATTAATGTTTGTTTTGTCTGTGACCCAAATACATCGCCCTGATTTTAATGTACCAAATCTTGGAATCATTTAGTGTACATGTTTTTGGTTTTGGTTGAACTTGAAATTCGTCGTAGAAGATTCCATCTGTAAATTATCTAAGGTCCGGGAGAGGGGCAGCTATGTAAATGTTTGGGTGTTTGGACTATTTTATTGCCAAAAGGAAAACATATTTAAGCTTATATCCGGTGTTACCTGGCGTATTTTTCTAACTTCTCAGATAAAAAAAAAAAAACAGAGAAAATAATTGAAAGTCAAGGCCCAGCCCAATATAACGAAAATTTAGAGCGAATAGAACACATTAGACAATATAATGATCTATGGAACCAACTTTAGACTTCTTAAATAAGAATATATTAATACAATACCAGGGAATCAAACCGAAACCGGAACCGGAGCCGGGCACAGAACCACAAACGAAACCAGAACCGGAACCGATATAAAACTTCATATAAGAACAGCTAACCATATCAAGCTGATGCTCAAAATAACTTGTTTTATACTTATATTATATTATATTCGAGATCCTTTCTGGCAACTATATCAAATAATTGCCTGAACATAAGATTTTGCATATATATGGGAATCATAGTGGAACTAATTAATCCTGAATTTGGTCAAGATATCTGATAAAAAAGTTATTCAGAAGTTACCCTTCGCCTGATATATAATATATTTAATATGTTTAATATAGGGGTCCGATGTTGATATGATTTTGAATATATGAAGGGAGCATAACAAATGTATGACGAATTTGATCAAGATGTATAGATAAACAATGAAGTTTTCCATACAAGAGCCTATTTCTGATCGTTCCTATGGCAGCTTTATAGCAGTCTGATCTGGTAATAGAAAATAGATATATATATTGAAATGTTGAAATATAAATATTATTAATATTGTAACTTGGAGGCAGGGATAGTTAAAAGATAAAACATCTAATTGAAAGTGATTTTTATTGAGTATTCAGTCTAATGGGTTTTTATATGTAAAACTCGAAAGATTAATGTGGCCGACGTCCATTAAAAACACTATTTAGAGGACGGTTTGGCTATGTTTATATTTATTGCCAACAATTGAATCTGGGCCGTAAAAGCAAACATATTTCAATAACAAAACCAGAAGATCAAGTAATCAAATTATGCGCAGATGGAAACCGCGCAAACAAAAATAAAATGAAATAATAACAAGAAAAGCAAATTGAAAATTCGGCCAGAAGGAAATGCCGCACACAGATGCCAAAGTCAAATTTATGTTAGTAACAAGAACAACAATATGGAAAAAATGGCAAAAAAAAAGTCTACAAAAGACGGGAAGCATGTGGCCCGGCATGGCCCGGCATGGCCCGGCTCTCTGTGGCTGTCGGTCGATTGGGCCGAAAACACTTGACCAACACGCGAGACGCTGACGCTGACGTAGACGTAGACGCAGACGTTAACATTCACGTTAACGTTAACGTTGACGTCAGCTGTAAGACAAGGCGGCGCAGCCGGCAACATTTCGCGCGTTAGCCACTTAGGGGTGGCTTTTCGCTGCCTCTGCTGCTGCTGCCGTCGCTGTCGCTGCCAACGTCGCTGCTTTGGCTCTTTGGCTCGTTGGCTGCCTTTTCAGCCATCAAGTGGATTTCAGTTTCATTTTGAACGTCGTGCGTCGAGTACGTGAACGGCTATCCTCAAAGCGCGCGCGCGTCTCATTTGCCCGCCTTACGAACCGACCAAAAACCAACTCGAATCGAATTCAATTGCATCTGATGTTGCTGTTATTTGGGCCTGGCCAACAGCAACAATACAACAATTGGCAGTAATCAGCGCGCGTGTGAACCAAAAATAACAAATAAATGCAAAACAAGAAAAATATATACAAATTTCAACTTGAGATATGCACAGAGATATACTCGAAAGTCATGTGAAAGTAAGCAAAAGAAATTGAAAACGAAAAAGATTTCAACTTGCGAGAAAAGTCGCAAAATCTTTTTTCTTTTCTTATAATTTAGGCACAATCAATCATTAGATATAACATTTAAGATATAAATAATAAACAAGTTAAGTAAAATTTACTACGATACAAAAATAATTGAATTTCAAAAGAAATATTAGATAAAAGTTTTTAAAAGTTAACTGAGTAAATAAGAAAGAATTAAATTGAGAACAATAAATAAATAAAATAAAATTATGATTATTAATATTAACAATAATCGGTAAATAAAAAAGAATTAAATCAATGAATAATAATAAAATTGATAAATATTCTAATAAAAATAATATTAAATAAAATAAACGCTTATAAGATTATATTTAATTCAAAATAATTTAAATGAGTAATAATTATGTATAAAATTATATATAAAATTTAATATGATGTATAATTAAAAAAAAAAGTTGTTGAAAGAAAATATTTATATATTTTTGTACCAAGCCAAAAAGTGAACAAATCAAGCAATAAACTAAAGCTTAGCCCACATTTTGTCCTTGAAACTGGGAACTGAGGAGAACAAATAAAAAATAAATATGTTCAAATGTTTCTTAGATGACCTTATGAATTTCGTTTGCCTTGTAATAACGCACATAAAAATATAAGTTTCAAGAAAATTTCAACATAAATTTATGTCACAGCCAAAAGTAAATCGAATGCTTTTTTTTCGTAAATGAGCAAATGTTGAAAATATTTTGTGCGCAAACGAAAATAAAATGTTTATATATGTGTTTTATATGTTTATACATATGTGTGCACATATAAACACATATATATTTGTTGCATATATATAAATCGCCGGCTAAGCAAATCGGCAAAATTATATCATAGCCGCGACCGATTTTAAAAATAGCGCTCTACGATTTTTAGTTGTTGTTGTCGTTCTTTCTTTATTTATTTTTTTTTGGCGTATAATTCATGCAAAAAATGTGTCATGCCGGGCAAAATATATATCGCAAAAGTAAAATCGACCAGTTCTATATAGCGCAGATCCAACGCAGAACAAATTTCGTTGGATTCTGCTCATTGGACATTGGAAAATGAAAAATAAATGAGTATAAAACTAAACTGAACTGAACTGAAATGTTGAGCAGAGCATGTTGCATGTGTTGTCATTAATGATGAGCATATGTGAAATACATATGTGAGCAATATTTTTAAATAAATCAAGGTATATAAGTACACTGCCTACATATGACATTTATTGCTCAAAGAGCAGAAACTGGAAAAACAACAATATGAACAAGACGAACGACAAGTGTGAGAATTGTTAGATTCATACATGTATCTAGCAATAAATTGAGAAAAAATAGAAATAGCTTTTGAAATGTTTTATTGCTATAGTTGATAATAATTTGTAGTATTAAATGTGCTTCTTTATATAAAGAAACATATATAAAAAGGCAGGTCTGTTGCGCAATTGTCAGATTTAAAACATTGACTGGTTTTTTAAAAGTTTAAAGGTTGGCTAAAAATGTGAAGAATTTCCGATTATGTGTCTGAATACCTAACAATTGTCTAAAGTCTCAATGTTTTAATACATGGAAAATGCATTTTGGCATTGAGCTACACTCGAACTAATGTCACTGCCACCTGTTTGCCTGTGCTGTACTCTGCCACGGCTCAATTAGTTCAACCTGCATCAGGAATCAAAGCCAACAACTTTTTCATTTGTTTTTGTTTCTGTTGGACAAAACGAACATTTTTTGTGGCGGCGCGTCCTCCAGCTCCAAGGCTGGACAGCCCTTAGCTAGTGAGCGAGTCTCATGTCTCTGTGTGTTTGTGTGTGTGTGTGCACATTTTAATTCACGGTTCGATGACCACAACGGAAATTCCTTTAATGACCACATGCGACGACGCGGACAATGTCGACGATGCGACAACTGCTGCCCGGAGCTGCTGGAGCAGAGCGAGAGCCAAGTGCACGTGTGCCGGCCGCTGGTAACCTGAACCCTGGCCGATTGGCCAATTGGCCAGGCCTAAATGGCCGACCCTCGACTCGCCTCATAGACCACGTTTTGTGTCTCCCTCTTCCTGTGCGTGAGACGACTCATAAAGGGCAACGTTGCATTTCATTTATTCATTTCATTCTGCTGGCTTGATGTCATTTTAACAGTTTTTGATCTCATATACCCTTGCAGAGGGTATCATTGTTTTGTCATACACGAGAGACGTCTCCCACTATTTAGCATTAATATGCTTGCTCAGTCGATAAATTTTCAATGCGAACTAGTTGATCAGCTCTGCAGCTATCATCGTGATACTTTGCCCAGGTGCGTCTATCTGTTGCATGCAGAAATACGCCGGATAAGAATATAGAAGGAGCATGCCGGAAAGCGCTTCTTCTTTATCAAGAATTTTAAACAAAATTTTGCAAATATGAGCCTTGCAATTATGTGCACAAGAGTATTTAATCTTTGGCGTGTCGTAGTCCGGACATGTTGCTATTAAAATCTTATATAAAACTTTTTTTTTCTCTGCATTTTAAGTATTTTAAAACGGGCTAGAATAACAACGAAATTAAAAAAAAATTTGCCTGTAACATTATTTTGAAAATGTAAATTGCGAATTATATGCTCGGCTGCACATTTGGTCGCGGGCATACAAGGGGGCAGGGCGATAGAGGGCGGGGGCAAAGGCGTGTAATGTGTGCGACGTGCAATGGCAACCAAATGGCTGAGCAATATAGCATATAGCATTCCATTCACAGCTGAAGCATAATCCAGGATTTGAGCTGAGTTTTGGCTGAGAAAAATGTGTCCTTCAATTTTAGCTGGCGAAAATAATTTGGGCTGTTTTGGAATATATAAGATGTAGACAACAAAAGAACGCAAAAAAAATCAAAATATTTTTTATAAGCTTAAAAAACTGAAAATAAACATTAATTATAAACAATCAAAAGTAAATAGAAATTGAATACCAATTAGATATTTAGGCATGTACATATATGATGCTCAGTTTTCATGTAAATTTAGCCAATTAGCCAAATGAATATAAAATTTACCTAAACAAACATAGTTTTGTTTAATGATAAATTAAACGACATGACTAAATGAAAACGAAATACTAAATAAACACACAAAAATAATTCATATTTAGCTAAAATGCTCGCAAAACCAACGCATATTAATTGAAAAAAGAGTTTCAGAATATTATGATTGCAATTAATTATAATCAATAATTAATATACAATGATAAAAGAACAATATAAAAAAACAAATTGAAAAAAAGAACAGGCTTTTGTTTGTGCGCTGCTCGTAAATAAATACATAATTTATTGAAATACAACAAATAGACAAAACGCAATAATAAATAATGTAATTTATGCCGTATTAAAAGTTGTTCAAATTATAAATCATATGCAAAATTATTTGCCATTCGCCATCAAAATGTTGTTTGCAATTTTATGGATTTATGCAAATGCCAAATGAGATTCAAAGCCCCAGCGAAAACCGAAACGTAAGTAAATTGCAATTAAATTGGAAAATTTCGTATACATAATGCCCCTATCGAATGGGGCCAATTGAAGAGCAAGTCAAGCAAATCGAATCATCAGTCAGACAACTTGAAATCTCAATGGCGGCTTTATAAACCAGCCACAAGCTGCAGGACGACAGCGGGGCACTCGGGCTGTGTACACTGTCCGTATCATATGAAAAATGCTCGGGCACTTGGTTCATTTGTTACAATTACAAAACTGGCCAAAACTGCAGACTTGTCGGCAACTCAGGTTGAAGTTAAGTTGATATTTGATTGGGAATTGCTGGCAAGTAAATTTGCAGCATACCTGGCCGGACCAAGACCAGGACCAAGACGAGTGCCCTGGTCCTGCTATAGCAGGTCGTCTATGGTTTGCTTTTTGTATTTCATTTCGTTTGTGCAATCAATCAAGCGCATGAGTAAGGTCAAAGTGCGGGGGTCAAGTGCTTCTACTACACTGCGAATCAACCTGCTTCGAGTTAAGGCCTGACTGCACAGCATTTAGTTCACTTTGGCATACCCCTATCTAACTGCTCAACAGAGTTCTGTTTCTGCTTCGGTTTAGTTTTATTTTCATTCTCTTTTTTTTTGGGATTTTAACTGTCTGAGTCTGGCCTGGCACCTTCCAAAAAATGTAAAAGCAAACAAAAGCCAGGGTAAACACTTTGACGGTGCGTCGTCTTCACCTTTTGCAACTAAGAAACAAAAACATTCCACAAAATTGAACAGCACATTTCTTATGCAAAGGCTAAACAACAAACAAAACACTTGACTGTTAAAAAAGAAAAATATAAGAAAAAGAAAACACTTTTCCCATGTTCCGATACAATTCCTCACCCCGTCGAGAATTAACATTAAAAAGCGCGCGCATTTTGATTTCTCTGCGTGTTTTTCGTGGGTTCTATAAAGCTGCTCTGTTATATAGGGAAACCCCTCTCTCTCTCGCTCTCCCTCACTCACTCAGCCGCCCAATAATAGCGACTCTTTTGTTTGCCCTTTGATTGTTGGGAATATTTTCTTTATCAAAGTGCTTTTCCGAGCTGGCGGCGGCGCGGGCTTCCTTTTCAGAATTCAGCTGCGGCTCAGCAACCACAACATAATGATTGGCAAATTATGGCAAAGAAGTTGTTTTTCTTATTGTTTCGCTAGGTAGACGAACTTTTGGGCCAACAGCTCCGGTGTGTTAGGTGCATGTCTTGTATATAATGCAAACTTTTTTCTTATGATGTTTATATTTTGTAAGAAATTATATAGCGAGCTTCAGGCAGATAAAAAGACGCTCAAGTTGACACCACGCGTCTATGCTTTTCCAACCTGCTGAGTTTGAACCGGCGACTTGCCACTTGCCAGTCCGACGTTCAGATGACTTAGCCATGCCTTAGCCTACTTTACGACTGCGTTGCTTGTCATGTGTGGCCCTTGTCCTTCCCTACAATGAGCCTAAATTTTGCAACATCCAA